GATTGTAGCTTGCAGCTACCAAGTTCATGAAACATTGAAATTTGCTATAAAATATTTAGCATACTCACTGTTCCTTTGTTRAGAATATTCTTCAGTAAAGGAAGATGGCTGTCATTGAGGTCTCTAATAGACTTGATTCCCTTCTTRTGACATATAACTACCAGGTAAAGGTTCTCTGTTTGTTTTTGATCCCACTTTAAATCTGGCAGTAGTACAAAGCCTGATTCTTCGTCTGGGTCTTCATAAATTATTCTATCTGCCTCTGCTTTCTTTTCCAGAATGTTGTACACCCACTAAACAGAAAGATGTGTATAGTTCTGTTATCAAATTATGAACAATTATTAAAGAAAAACACTTTAGAAATCTGTCACCAAGGGGAAGTCTGTGAATTGGATACAGAGTCATCCTCATTTGCATTCAACTTTAACAGATTTTTTTGGCTAAACTCACTCACAATTTTAGCAAAAATTACACTCCTGGACATCTTGATAAGCAATTTAAAATATTTGGATGCAATCATCTGATTATGATGACTTGCCCTCGTATATGCCCATAAACAGGGCTTACAATAACAACCAGTCAGTTGCCGGTCATTGCCACGTCATACCTCATTTCTGGCTCAACTTTTGAGATTTTCCCATTTGAGATTTGACTTGAAAAATTCCAATTCTGGCTGGAAATTGTCAGATKACCAGCTGTYATTTTCAGCCCTAATACAAATCAGCCGCTCATATTGCATATATGAAATTGAAAGCTATTAGAGTATTAGTAGATCAACATAAAATACTCCTTTCAAAATTATTTTGGATGCCAAGCTAACATCTAACATGAAAATTTGAAAATGAAAAACAAATTAATAGTTGAGAATTGCTGTAAACTATTTAAAATTTTTACCTGAATGCTAAATTGTTGTGCCTCTAAGAAAGGTAGTGTAATACTAGAATAGTCTTTTGGTGTCTCTGTAACAAGGTATGTAGTTTGCGATGTGTATTTGTCTATATGCTTGCTTGTGGCCGGGTAGATAACAGTACACTTGACAGTATTGATATCTTCAGGTGGAGAACAAGCGTACTGCCCATATATATCATTCCGCATGTCTACTTTTAGCTCAGTATTGGATGATAATACACGTGGTAATGTATCTTGAGAGAATGGGGTTTTCTCCAGAAGAACTACAGCATCTCCATCTCCATCTTCAAATGTTCCTGTTCAAATGGAATGTTATATAATACTGTAACATATTAGTTCCAAACAATGTTCATATACCTATACCTCCCCCCATAGAAGGGAATTTGAATATCCAAGTGGTGGGGAGGGTCTGYGGAGGGTTTACAGTGCCATTCCAGCTATCCTGGAAGATTTAAAATATCCCAGGTTACAGGAGACCTTCAGGGGTATGCTTTGTTTAAGACTATCTACGCAACATGTTCAACAAAACCTTATAAAACCAATATTTTTTTAAAGGTCTTAGGATAAAGATTTTGAAAATAATATTATTCGAAAGCGATTTTCTAACTTGAAACAATGCCGGAGCCTTTAACACAAATCGGGCACGTTTCATAGAGGTGAATTAATGGCATGGCGTTAGCACGTATAGCCAAAAGACTATTTGAATAAGCAAAAGATAAACAATACAAACGTGTGTGAGCGATGTTTGATTTTTTTCTTCCTCAAAAAGTTATTAAATTTTACAGTTGGAACGTCAAAAATTTTACCG